GAGGTCTGGCGGGCGTCCAGGACCGGCGCGGCGTAGGCCAGCACCAGCTCCACAGCCCCGCACTGCTGCTCCGACAGGACCGGGACGGCCTGCCAGGGTGCCGGCTCCGCGCTCCCAGCCTCCTCGCGCCTCGGCTGCTCCTCGGGCTCCATCCTCGGTGGGACCTTGGGGACAGATCGGAGCAGAGCAGCGCCGTCAGCCAGGGTGGCCTGCGGGCCAAGATGTCTGTCCTGGGGCCGTGGCTCCAGGAGCTGAACCCTGCGAGGCCCCCAGACCCCCTCCGAGAGCCGATGCCAGCCAGCCTTCGGGATCTCTGCTGGCAGCCGAAAATCCCCGTGGCCTGCACAGGCTGGAGGCAGGTCCCACCCCGTGGGGACTCTGGGTGTGGACGCGGCACCATGCCGCAGGGCTGCTGACCGGGGAGAGTGGGTGGCCACTGCTGGGCTCCTGCCGAAGACTCTGGGGCCAGGTGAGCCCTTCCGGCCAAGTCCCTGCCGCCAGTGCCCACGGTGACGGCTGTGGGACGGGCCTGGCCGCGGACAAGCAGGCTGGCCATCGGCCCCCCCACCCCGACGCCCGTGAGTCTCGCGGCCTGATGCCTGCGCAGTCTATTCCTCGTGAGGTTTCAGTCTGTACCAGAGAGCATGCGCCCACGCTGGGGGAGGCCACACCACACCCCCTCCTCTCACACATGCACAGGAGCCGGGTCGTGGGCAGGCGTGCAAGTGTACGCACCCGCGATCTGCAACTGCACGGGTGGCCACACGGGATCCAGCCCCCAACCGCCACGCCACCTGCTCAGCTCTCCGCCCCTCTGCCCCTGTGGCCTGGGCCAGCTTCCAGGGCATAGACGTCACCGCGCGGACAGCGGGGTGGTGTGTGCAGACGGGTCAGGTAGGCCGCTCCCCCACCACGGGGACAGCGGGGTGGGTGTGCAGACGGGTCAGGTAGGCCGCTCCCCCACCATGGGGACAGCAGGGTGGGTGTGCAGACAGGGCTCAGGTGTGTGCAGCCCGCGGAGACAGCGGGGTGGGTGTGCAGACAGGGCTCAGGTGTGTGCAGACCGCGGGGACAGCGGGGTGGGTGTGCAGACAGGGCTCAGGTGTGTGCAGACCGCGGGGACAGCGGGTGGTCTACGCAGACGCAGGTCGGGCCAGACACCAGAGGACTTGCCTCCTCTCCTGAAGGGCAGGGTGAGCGGTGGACGAAAGAGCTCTCAGTCTGCCAGGGGAAGTCGAGGGGCCACTCCTCGGCACTGCCCACCCGCGTGGCCCCACCGCCTGAGCAGCACCTGGTCCGCCGAGATGACCTGAGCCTAAAATCCAGGGTCAGGCTCAGCGTGGGAGCAGCGGACGTGGACGTGGACGGGCTATCCGACAGACACGCACACCGGGGACTGCGGCGAGACCTTCGCCAGCGCTGGGCCAGACCAAGCACCCACTGATTCCAAGCTGTGGCTCTGCGCCGTGTCGCAGGGCAGCTCTGGGGGCCGCCAGCGTGCAGTGCTGGTGGTAACTGGGGACACACGGGCGTGCGTGCGCGTCCAAAACCCCAGGGGAGGGAAGGGGCTCCCTGCCACGAGCACGCATGCCCTCTGGAAGAATGCGCCCCATTTTTCACTATTTCATTTATTACTAGTTAGCTCGGCCAGAGAGACAGAGAGGAGGAAGTGAGAAAGCAAGCCGCCAGCCAGGCCCAGGACTCGGACGGAGGGCTCTGGAGAACCCAGCGCCGTAACCACCGCGCCACCTGCTGGCCCCACCGCCGGCAACTTCTCAGCTGGCCGCACAGCCCTTCCGTTACCAAACTCGCACATGCCTGACCACAGGTTCAGTCCCGGAGCGGGGCTTTAAAACCACGGCAGGCACGTGCCCAGGACTCCGGGAGGGGATGGAGAAGGGACTGTGGCCTGGCCACGCCCCTGGAGGAGACTTCTCACTCTCCCTCTCGCTGTCCCTACTCTCTCTCCAGCAAGCACACACCCCCAAGGGAAAAACCCCTGAAGAAACATATACGTGAAATACACCCGGGCCAGCAGAGTGCGGGGGCTGGGTGCGTCCCGGACCGGAGGCTTGAGACACAGCGCCCATGCGCGCAGGTGCCCAAAGCCCCCAGACGCCCGCAGGCGTGCCCACCCGCACGGGGCGCTTCCTCCCTCTCCGTCTCCGCCAGGCGTGCGTGCCCTCAGGTGTGAGAAATAAAGCCCAGGGCCCCTCCTGGGACGGAGCTGTCAGCTCCGGGGAGCCCAGCCCAGACGCCACGGAAGGCACCCTGCAGCTGCCGACCTGCGGCGCCAGCCAGAGCTCGCCCGAGTCTGGCGATGGCAGAGGAAGAGGTGCAGGCGGGGCCGGGAGGGCAGGGACCGTGTGCCTCATGCCCCCGCTGCTGCCCTGGGTCGCGCGGCTGCCCGGCCACAAAGGCACCACTGTGTCCTGGGTGGCAGCAGACAAACAAGCCACGCCTGTCTCACTCAGACTGCCACCTCTGACTCACGGACACCACACTGCAGAGGCCGGGACCTGGCACGGCAGGGCTGGACGGAGCGTGCTCGTACAGGAGACACTCGGTCCTGGCCCGCCCGACCCCTTAGCTGAGGTGGACACCTCCCAGTCCTCTTGAGCTTCACTTCCCTCCCAGGGAGGAGGAGTCTGATCAGTCAGGAGCAGAAAGTGACAAAATGCACCACCCAGGACACGCCACACTCCACTGAGGAGCATCACAGCTCCCGGAAGGACTGAGAGACACGCCCCCTCGGCCACAGTCCCGGAGAGCTGCTTGGAGGTGGTGACCCACTGATGAGCCTGAAGGCAGAGGGTGAAGGGAGCAGCTGAAGGGTCACTGCTCTGGCTCAGGACACACTCACAGCCTGTGAGTGTGCGCATGGAACACACTTCCAGGACTGGAGGGCCGCTCTACTGGGGTTTGCTGCTTTGTTTTAGCTGGCATCTCACTACGATGTGGGCGTTCTGCCTCAGCCTCGAGAAGCTGGGACCACAGGCGAAAGCAGCCGGGCAAACCAGGAACAGAAACTGGGCTTCCCACGTGGCCCTGCCTGGCAGGGAGCAGGGTCTACCAGGTGCTGCACTGCAGCTCCACCCAGAATCTTCATGGGTTTTGGAGGTGTGTTGCTATGGGGCACGTGCGCTCACCAGAGAGACGGGAAGCGAGAAATCACCCCCGCATGGCCTCGCTACAGTCCCTTCTCCATCCTCCGCCAGGATCTTAGGCACGCACACACGCACCCAGCGTGAGTTTTAAGCCACCGAGTCCGGAACTCGAACCTCAGTAGACTGCAATGGAGTCCGGGGACGTAACCATTACGCCATATGCTGGTCATGGAATCTGCACTTTTTAGAAAAGTAATTATTTAACTTGATTTTAATGACCAGAGAAGAACAGAGTGAGTGGAAAGCAAGAAAGCATGCCGCCAGGTCCAGGCCTCAAAGGGCAGTCGGTCATGTGGGGGTCCAATGCCCGTAGCCACCGTGCCACCTGCTGGCCCCCGAAATCTCCATTCATTACTTTATTGAAGTTGACCAGAGAGAGAGAGGAGGAAAGTGAGAAAGCAAGCTGCCAGGTTCGGGACTCGAACCGCGGTCAGCCATCGGGAAGTCCACCGCGCTTAGCCACCACGCCCCCTGCCGGCCCCGACTCTGCACTTTTAACGAGCTCCCTAAGGGAAAGGCACCTTCCCAAACGATGGAAGACACGTGACCACCACCACCACCCAGTAGGCAGAAACGTCCCCGGGACGAGTCTACCCCGAAGCACGTGCACGCGGCGGGACAGGACACTGAAGCTCACTGAAAGTAAAACCCGTTCCTGGACGGGAATTCGGATCCCAGGGGCGGCCCGAGGTCTCCGCCAGGCCTCGCCCGGGAGCTGCTGGGAACGGCCCGTTTCTGGAATGGGCAACGACCCTGCGGCGCCGCCCCTCGGGTGCACTCCAGGCGCGGGCGAGAGGCCGGCAGAGGGCAGCCCCGAGGCAGGGGACTGGCCGCCTTGACCTGGGCAGCGCAGGCCGGAAGCAGCTCGGACGCACGGCGTTCCTCTGCCGGGCCGCAAGGGCGCGCGCAGGCGCAGCAGGCGACGGGTCCAGGGAAGGGGTCCCGGGCCGACCCGCCCGCGCGCACGCGCACAGACGCCC